ATTCTTGCACTGACTTCATCAGACACACTTCCGTCAGAGCTAATACAACTACCGAGGTATGCAAAGTTTTCCACAATCTCCAGTGGTTCTCCTTGAATTGCAAGGGATATGTTCGCTACACTTCAGAATACCATTCTCCTGTCCGGGGTGGTTTCGTTCTCCAATCTCCACCCAGTTCAACGTAAAATTAAATGCTTCGTCGGCTATCCTTTAGTAATCTCTAATGTGCAAATCCTTTTCATGTCGGGACCTGATGTATCTTGCGCTGATTTGCAATCACCACCACTGGAACTGGGTTATTCTATTCCACCCCTATATCTTTAGTCCGCACGATTCCTCTTTTCTCATTCAACCACCCGCAGTGGGTTTCTGTTGCTCGTTGTTGAACCAAACCCTTAACTTCTCTCTCCACAGGAGCAACCAGACTTTGGACTTCTGTTTACCTGGCTCACATAAACCACAGCTCCTTGTGGATTGACCTAAACCCACTTTCTAGTTTGTTGTCGCCCACATACTGACGTGAATTTAGTTATGTCCTCTGAGTGAGAGGTTTCCCTTCCTGTAATCCACACGCATGAGATAATCAGAATGTTAACAGTTCAGGTTGCATGAAGAAAAACCGATTCTGCGAAAAGTCAATAAATTCGTCTCTCAAATTCTTGTGCTTTATCATGCGAAGGAAGCCTAGGATGGACGCATTGAATACTACTGGGTACTTGAACATGTATCGCAAAACCCCTGAAGAAGAAACATCCCATACTTATGAAGATTTTGGTTTGCCCGTTCATTGTCTCTTGTGGAGAGATTTGGACGTATGTGTGAAATCAAGCTATGAAACGACGGAAGATACTGAACGGGTTTGTGCGACATGTGTTGGTTATTCATTATGTGGGTAATAAATTGATAGTAAAATAGTGATTCAAAGTACATTTCCAGTGAAATCTAACGCCTCAACTACGAATAGCCAGTTTCATCAAAGAAGAGCAACCGAAAGTTATGCAGAAGGATCGCACATTAAAGGCCTCGGAGGTCAGGTATGTCTTCAGTGTATCAAAACTCAGTTCGCGTGCGTTATTTGCCAGACTGGAAGTGAAAGGCCACCCAGTAATGAAAAGACTGACTCAATGACTTGCACCATTCGATTATCCAGACTTCGTCGCTGAGGTCCTATAACACTCGGTGAGCAGCACCTATTGATCTGGCACGGATCCAGTGAATAGAGAACTTCATACATACAATAAGCTTTTCTCGTGTCATTTTGTTATATTTCGTGGCACTAGAGCTTAACGCCATTTGTAATGCAATGCAGTTCGGAGACTTGTTAACCAATTTGTCTGTTCGGTTCGAAAAGTGGAGGGAATCCTCGGCTCCAAGTTAATATTCGAAGGAAATTTGACTCGGAAATCATGAATAGATGATTAAACTACATTCTATTATTTTATGGAGAATATGTACAGGGTTAAATAACGTGAGTACCAACGGCTTCTTATGATTAACTTATGATTAACTGTCTCGAATCCTATTATTTCCTTGTGAGTGCTTGTCATTTAAAGTTCCACTAAAGTGAACAGTGGACATGAGGATACCACTAAGAGTGACTCACGTTCCATCCTGAGTTGACATCAGCGCTAACCTCACCAACAATCCGATTAGCACCAAAAACGGGTTGCTTGATATCCACATTGCTCATGAGCACAAATGGCATACTGAATGATTGTAAGCCGGCAGATGAAGAGCGGTTTGTGAATATGACCTTTTGAGAATTGAATTAAGCACAATAATTTGGGGCGTTACCCTGTGCGAAGTAAGATAAACCCGTCCAGAACCCTTCTGATTTAAAGGGTTGCCAAGCTTTATATCACATCCATCGTAGAAAATTAGAAGCCTGGAGGTTGAAATCAATCAAGATGGAGAACTCTCAAAATTTACCTTTCGCCGTAAAATAAAACCACTCCACCTGAGGCAGCGTGGTGTGACTGGTTCAACATCGCTGAAAAAAATAAATTGTGGAGAAACCGATCAAAGGGTAAGAATTCTGAGGTCTATTGAAGGCTAGATGAGAATAGGGTACACGGAACTGGGATACTCTCCTGAAAAAAACGCCCAGCCGTAGTACCTTTATAGTGCCTAACCGCCATGTCACCAGAAGGAAGCACGAGGGCTGGGATGCTGGCAAGTTGCCCATGCCTACACGGGGGATGTCGTGATGCAAAGGTCGGACCTTCCGGTCGGCGAATTCGCGCTTTAACCACTGAGCCTGAGGTGGTGCCTAGTCCAGGATGACATTGGCTATCAAGTGTCAAGAAACTGCATCGCAAAGCAAGACTGCGTTCTCAGCATCATCATCATCATTATCATTGTCAGCTGTAATAACCATGTACTCGTCGTAAAGTGGTTGTAGCTGCCACAGTTTCGTTCACCGATGATTCGGGGAGGTGGGGTAGGCAGCTGCGCGACGGGAGCTGATAAATTGGTGCATAAATCAAGCACTGTCAGTGAGTTGTCAAGTGGGGAGGGGTTGGAAAAGGAGCTATGCATTAAAGGCAATAGCTTGGATGCGTTCTAACCTTCACAAGTGTTGACACAGCTGACGGAGAGTGAGCAACTATAGGGAAACCAATAGGGAATTGGTAATCTTGTAAATACTGACATATACAAGTAATCTGACAGTCTAATATGATGAAAACGAGTTGATGTATTCACATCACGCGGTGTCCAGGGGTGAAGCGGACACTGAACTGTGCGGTAGAATTATTTAGGTTATTCAAAAAAGGCTGATCCAAGATCAGTCTGATACAAGAAAACCGATATTACAACATACTCAGTGTCAGTGAGCCAACACCTCTTGAATATTTCAATTCCCGAGGTATTGGAGGCACCTAAAGGAAATCCAAGCATCAAACCGATCACGGATCTAAATAGGGAATAGGGTATTCTTGCCTGTCACCACTGGCTGCGGTGAACTCGGGAGAGGATTTGCCGCAAACACATGAGTTCGCGGGAGGAGGCACGTGAAGTCTTTATGAGAGACAAAAAGTTAAAAAAACACCCTTCATTGATGAACACTGTCACAGTTTCTGACGACCAGATGGGTCAAAAGTAGACATAAGTGGAAAAATACGACTGTTGTTGGCGGTCAGAAGGAGTAATGCAGTTCCGATACTGGTCACAAAGTGAGAATACGACTGATGCAACCCCAGTCAGGACAAAACGCAGCTTGATTGAGAGACAATTAAAAAAACACCCTTCATTGATGAACACTGTCACAGTTTCTGACGACCAGATGGGTCAAAAGTAGACATAAGTGGAAAAATACGACTGTTGTTGGCGGTCAGGAGTAATGCAGTTCCGACACTGGTCACAAAGTGAGAATACGACTGATGCAACCCCAGTCAGGACAAAACGCAGCTTGATCCCCATGAATCTGACTCTCCCGATTATGAATAAACCCATGTAAGATGATGTCAGAGAACATCTTTGAAGCTATATACACTAGGCTGATGCCCCGGTTGCTTTCGCACGATGTTTTTGAACCGCTTTGAATATGGGAATCACCGTCATGGCGTTCCATGTTGTTGGTCTTCTTTCCTCATTCTATATGCTTTGGGGCAAAATCGTCAGGATCATCATCATCATCATCATCATAAGCCTTATTGAAAAGAGTAAAGGTGGATGGGGGAGGCACTTAGTGCTAGCTTAACACAATCATTCCGAGGTGCCTACACCTCCACACATCACATTCGGCAATCTGGATAGAAACTGACAGCAAGAACGCCACTGACATCGGTTGGCAGCCATATCTTGTAGTGTCTCCAACCAGGCACAGTGAGGATCACGCGGTCCCCATCCTGGAAGGCGAGTAGCACCGACAGCACCCAAGCGTTTCGTGATCTCCTTCATACTCCTCTGCCAGGTCATGGGTTGGCCACCTCTCTGTTTACGCCACTCCGAATTGGGCGTGGAAAACAGTACTCTCTTCGGCAAACGA